GCATTGGGCGTATTGGCCTTGCACCTTTATGCCAGTGTTTAATTGTGTTACGAAACAATTGGAAGGATGTTTCGTCAGTGAAAACTGTTCGTTTCCAATTGTCATTTAAATGTTTCTTGGCCCATATTACCCGACTTTCTTTATGAGCCTTTGTCAGCATGGGAGTGGTAAGAGGAAGGCTGTTTTTGTAACCATGTTCAGCCAAATGCCGTCCTACAGTTATGCGAGAGACTACAGTTCCTTCCTCTTTCAATTTACTGGCAATTAATTTAGTAGAAATAGTTGGATTTCTTCGAACATACTGGCCAATTCTGCGAGCATTAATATCGGTTATAGTTTTTTTATGACCATTTCCCCCTCTGTGCTTTACATTTCCTTTTTCTCTGATTTTTTTTAGGTTGTAATATATTGTCCTAATTGGAATCTTGGTCAATGATTGTATTCTGGGGGCTTCACGTATTCCCTTCTCCCAATAATATAATATCGTTTGTCGTTGTATTTCGTTAATGGATTGCGACATTTTACACTTTTGTTTTGGAAAAAGCGCGAAGTAAGTTGAAAATAAGTCTGTTTGGAAATGATAGTCCATTACATAAGCTTTATTTTGATCCATTCATTACGCGTTTATTTTGAAAACTGGTCGAGTTACGTATATGCAGATTATTTCTAAATTTTGTGCCATTTTTTTTGAACACCACTGTATATAAGACTGTGGCTGTTATACATCCGAAGCGATGTCGCAAAGTAAAAAAAAAAAAAATAATAATAATAATTATAGTCACATCGTGTTCTGAAGCGGAAGTAAATCACATCACGTTAGGCACATAGTACTAAAAAAGATGCTGAGAAAGTATTGATAGAGGTACCTCCATCGAAGATATTATCTAGAAAGGTTTTAACCCACATCGAAAAAAGATTCAAGGATTTACCACTTGCACCAGTGATTATAGTCGATTAGGGTGGAAAAAAATATATTATAGTGTTGAGTTAATATTACATTAGTATGAGAAATCACTGTCTATGCTTTCATTGTTACCATTTGAATTGAATTTTGATAAGCCTTATAACATTTGAAACGATAAGTTTTTTCACCACAATATTCATACTGTACCTTCATTTGCTCTATACTTCCCCTTACATTTTCTTTTTTATACTCTTTGTTACATACCGGATATGCTACTGAACTAGTAAAATTAAAATAATCGGCATACTCATACTATCCCTCAAAGATTGATAAAAAGCGATCCAATAATGTGAGCTCACTTCCCATCGGGATTCTCAGGTAAGGTAAAAATCCGAGGTCGGGGTTTGGTTGGTGCTCTTATCTGAGTTTCTGGTGTGTAGTTAACATAATTTATATATTTTATCATACATTAATATGTCTGTAATTTTACTACTAAAACCTATATATAGATAAACCAAATTTGGACATAATGATACATGCCCAAAAACGAATCTAATATTATTCTAACTTCTGAAAATGATGTTTGTAGTAAAATTAGAAACTATAATAATAATAATAATAACAACAACAACAACAACAACAAAAGATTTCTAACTTGGAAATTTCTTTAGACAATGAAGAATTTAAATTATACGATTTCCTTACTATATCTGGAAAAGGAAAATCAACAATCAGAATTGGAAAATAACTTTGGGCCTTCTCATAGCTTTGATGCCCCTATCAAATTTGGAAGTCGTACAGGCATCAGCTCTCAAAATAGAGTAATACCATATTTACCTTATGTGATAAAATTCATAAGTAGCATACGCGCATAAATAACGCCCTTCTGTATGAGACTGTTATACTGATGATATTATCTATCAGCCGGAAAAGACTTATTGCCTTCATAGTAAAAGTAATAAAATCTAAACAAGAATTTGATGCAATATTAATTGATATAGAATTAGCATTTTTGTTTGATTTGATGTCAATGATTAAGTACACCTCGTTTACTTCGGCCAAAAACAATAACTTATTGGACAGACATATTTCCATATCTTAATGACGAGAGCGAGTATATTTTGCGATCTACTGCTTAGTATCCTATAACTATTTATCCACACCCTTTCGACCTCAAACTCCTATTGAAATTCAAGTTGACATTGTGATTCAACGATTGGCAAATCCTCTAGGATATCGCCAACTAGAAAGCCATTCTGGACACCCTCCAACATTATTATCATCATTTGTATCAATCAAACCCGCATACGTTGTGGGTGTTTGTATAATAAAAAATCCGAGGTTTCTTTTTGCTTAGTCATTGCAATGAATATGAAAAAAAAATTTTTTTCTTGACTCTTAATAAATAATGTATGTTCTATCCCATAATACTGCTCTCGTCACATCGATCTGGCAAAGTCCGAATTGAAAATAAACAATTTCCAACTTAGGAATGCCCCTTGATGCCCCCACCAAATAATTTCCATTTTTATCAAATTTGATCGGGGCATCAAGGCCATGTAACAATAATAACAAATAAAATGACTTCATATTTTGAACGTTGTTATCGTTAAAGTTCAAGCCGAAAACGTCAAAAATGTAGATGATAGATTGATAAAGATTAGAGTTCACAACTCGTGTAATGTGATGATAATGTTCTGGCCCGTAGCGAAATTCAGCCCGATTCGAAATAAGCACATTTTATTTCGCTATTATCACATAAACAATGTTAATTAGATGTCGTTTATTGGTTGTGATATTAGACAATGTGCCTATTGCGAATCGGGCTGGATTTTGATGGGCAGAACAATAATAACTTACAAAAGTGATTATTTAAACTAGTTAAGTATGTACAACTATAGGAACAAGCGCCGTTGTAGTATAGTGGCAGTACATCGCGTTGTGGCCGCGCTGACCCTGGTTCGATTCCAGGCAACGGCAAAATCGTGGTATTTCTTTTCCGTTTGTTAGTTTTGGTTACACGGTGTCCAACCAATTAATACAGCAATAATAATACGTATTCAAACATTTTCCGTTATGCTAAATGGCATCATTCACTTTTTTCTTGCAAAAAACGAATGGGAGGTATACCAAATTTTCGGTAAAGGCTTAATAACCCCTTGTTTCAGACCTGGACACAAAACCCAACCTTAAAACCGATCGACTCGTCTAAAGCTGAGACCTGCATTTTTCGGGTTTTCAGGCTTTTAATTACCATGTTCTGCGATAGGGGCTAGTACAAATGCGGACGTCAGCGAGAATTTGGTTTCTTTCGACATTGATATCTTGAAAGGTAATACAGGTGACACTCATTTCGAATTGCTTCATCACCTTATCAAATAGGATGTTTCCAATAATTGAATTAATAAACCCATTTCAATTTGTGTATTTTGTTCATCATTACTCATGTAAGTGTTAATATTGTACTACTATAGCCAAGTACAATATATTTGAGTTTATTCTCTGCATGGGATAGCGTCGGTCATCAAAGAAGATGACACCACCAATGTCGATAAATATCAATGCTTATCGGAATGCCCCTAGTTTCTTCGTACGCTACGAAAAAGAATTGTCCTTTCTTTTTTGTATCGACACCCTTGCTTATGCTTAGGCACACGAGTCGATATATAGATTAAATCTACAGAAAGAAAAAAATAAAATTAAAAAAAGAATACATAGAGAATTCGTTGGTTTTTTATATTTATGGACATTTAATACACCCATTGCCATTAAAATGCAGTCACAATTCTCGACATTTGACACCTCGACTCTGATAGTCCTTCCCGGTCTTATCGTAGGATTATATGTATTCCGTTTCTATTACAAATACTTTACACGAGAGAACCCACTTCCCGGCCCATTTCCTCTTCCCTTAATTGGAAATCTTTATCAATTCACTGGAGGTGACTTCTCTCTCTGGATTAACAGCTTCCATAAGAAATATGGGGACATGTTTGAAATCTACATGGCGAGTGAAAGGCAAATTTGGCTGAATAGGGCTGACCAATTGGATAGTGTCATGAGCGCATCCACCAAGACTGCATTCCCAGTAAGATTCTCGCCAAGTGAAGGTTTAGATGAATTCGACATATCGAGGAACTCAGTTGCCTTCAACTCTGATTTGAATGCATGGAGATTCTATAGAAAGTTCCTTGATCGAACCTTGACTCCCAAGACTTACAAAGAAGCAATCGTAGTGACCGAGAAACGTTTCAAGGAATTGACCGAACATTGGGATAAGTTTGGATATGATAATGTCATCGATTCTCCAGCATGGATACGTCGATGTATTGGTGATGTTGTCATGTTGATGACCCTTGGCAAGAATCCCTATCTGATGGCCAAATATTTTAGCTCTTTGCGTCCATCTGAGAAAGTCGAGACCCACCATGACTTATTGGAAGAGACAGAGAAATTAATCGAAAGCGTCCACAATTTCTTCTATGGCGCACAGTTTTTCTTATTCTTCCCTCGATTCATTAGGAATTCTGTGTTTAGATTTTATGCAAAGAAGCTACATGCGTCGTATAACTGGTCTAAGCAGCTCATTTATGGGATAATTAGAGAGAGAAGACAGGTGATTGAAAATACCCCAAACAACGTACCGTTAAAGCCGGATTTGATGAACATGCTTATCACTACCAACACCAAGAGAGATGTTAACGGCAAGTTTCGAAGTGAATGGAAAGATCCCATGACCGACGAGGAGATTAGAGTCGTTCTGTGGGAATTTATTATCGGAGCTATCGAAACGGTATATATCTCGGAATAATAATTTGAACCAGTTATCTGTGAACGTGGTACTCAATCTATTTATTGTATTGATTATGTAGACGCCTCCTACATTTGGATTTGTTATTGATCGTATCGAGCGTGAACCGCAGGTCAAGGAACGAATGATTGCTGAAATTGATGCTCACTTTGCTGAAGATCCAGATCGTTCGATAACTTATAACGATTTAAGTGAACTTGTATATTGTGATGCCGTCGTCAATGAAGGTACTAACATTGGCTATTCTAACGTACCGTTATGTCTGATTTGATATGATTTTAACGTTATCACCCTTCGTCGCCGTATTCCATTAGCACTCCGCCTCCATCCTCCAGGGCCACTAAACTTCCGCTACAACCATCGTGATGAGGAAGTCGGAGGCTATACATGGAAAGCAGGCACTCAATTTGGTATCAATTTCAGGGCAGTACATACATGCACAGCACACTGGGAAGATCCAGATAAATTCTTCCCTGAACGATTTCTCATCTCCAATGTCGAGAAGAATTCGTTCTTACCCTTTGGATCCGGAATGAGGATGTGTCCTGGGAAGAACATGGCATTGACTATTATTAAGACGTTGCTAGTGTCATTTTATAGAAAGTACAACGTAAGATTGGCTAATCCGGATTCGCCTTTGAAATTTACGTTTAGATTGGTCAATGCCTGTGAAGGGGCTCAAGTGTGCATTGAGCCTAGGAATTGAAAAGGATGAGGGAAAAATTATGCATATTTAAACCATTTGATAAGGTTTTGAATTATAACCGGCTGTTTGAGTAGTTTGCGGAATGCCCTCTAATATGTACACCAGAGACACGATACCACTTACTGATTTGTGGTGTGGCTGTCGTAAATGTTCCTTCCAGCAATACTGTGAATAAAATATTTGATACTGCAACAGTACTAAAAGTGTGCGGACTGCCCACACCATCGTTTATTTGTCTTCATATGACGGTAAATAGATTATTTATAAGATATTGGTTTAAGCGCTTGCATGTCCCATTAATCGAAGATAGCAGTATTTTAGGGTGAAACGATAAGAATATGCGATAACCATACGGCTATACCAAATCTTTGTTAAAGTTTGTATGAGAAGTACAAGAATGAAATCATTCACGTACCAGCATTGGCCATTAATCCGCAAGGAAAAGTTAATTACGAACGAAAAAGCGATGTCACTTTTTATTACCCACGTTGATTCTTATATATATGAAATTTAATATTAAGTATGCGACTTTTTTACGGCTGCCGGTACAATGTGAACGCCATAAATGATGGCATCGGCATAAAATTAATTGGGTTGCCTTTTACCGCAAGAATTAGTTAATAGAATAGTAAACCTGTGATGTTCATGTTAATTTTGACATTCACAAGCATCGTGTGACCTTATTCACTTCACAAAGTGAATATAAGTTGGGATGCAGGCCTGATCGTAAGTCCTTATTACATATAATGTGTGCATCTTACTCTTTTCACATTGTGACAGAGACATTAGTGACTGGTATCGATTTGTCAAACATAACGTGCTAGATGCTTAGATTTGAATCCTCAACAGGCTAAAGACGGAATACCCATTTTTATTGTATAAATCATTAAATCATATCCCTAGCCGGCGTCGTAATCGTAAAATAAATAGATATCTCGATAATTACATTACTTCAGATGAGAAGTAGTTTTGTTTGGGTTTTTCGGAGAGAAGAAAGAATAATCACAAAGTGAAAATAACCCGATCACAGACTAAATCTTGACAAATGTCTCATGAACTAATGATACTATTAACAGTCTGCTTTGTTTTTTGACATGCGTTTAGCCACTCGTCCAGCACCCCAATCAGAGCTGCTTCCATTCCAGTCCCATACCAGAAATGATCGATGTCATCCAATTCTCTGACAGTCCAATTAGGCTTTTCACTAAGATGACAGTCTTCAACAAGCCTTCGATATTTCCTCACCCCAGTGAATTGATCGGAATCTCCATAAACAAATAGGATTCTCTCATCTGAGGACACGAGATCACCAAAACAAGTCAGGTATTGAGAGGTGCAGAAAAATGTTAGAAACCAGATGACCGAGTATGGGTAGCTTATTATAACAAACGAGAGCGGTACAGATGTTGTATAAGACGACAGTGACGTTGCTATCAGCGATCCATAACTATACCCCTGTAATGAATGAATAATAGAAAGTGGTTAAAGGCGTTGGTTATAAAATCATACATAGTTCATAATAGGTGAACAAACCTACAACTATGATAATCTCCGAGACTGGTGGAATTTGTAAGAGTTGTTTGCCAGAAACCGTTCCTCGATTCGCAAGAAAGTCGACCATTGTCCGATAGTCGTCACACTCAGGTGCACCTGTCCAGCTGGTGCGTCCCTCCGATTTCCCGACCCCTCTAAAAAATGAATCAGAAATACATAAGCCGTCAAAAATGAAAGACTTGCTTATTTCGATTGCGCTGAGACCTACCTAAAGTTAAAAGCTAAGGTAAGATAGTCCTTACCCAAAAAGAATTCTTCGATCGCAACAACCACATTATTGTTGAAGTTTCCTCCTACAAGACTTGTAATAAGTGAACAACCTGATATAATCATAAAACTAATTGGTTGCTCTGTGTACCTAGTGGCCCATATGGATGTGAAATAATGACGGCTTTCAATGCCCCGACATGATTCAAGTAAGACACACGCGTTTCAAGAAGTTTATTGTCATGCACCGAAGGGATAGAAATCCTCTCTGTGAGTAACGTTTCTTGCGTTTCGTTTGGATCCATAATATTGTTCGCAAACAGATAATCCTACCGTTTTTAAAATATTGATCTTGTCACACAATTGTGTCCCGCCAATACCAGTAACAGAAATGTTAACGTCACAAGTTGGAAATTAAAATGAGAGATGATTTTTGGTATCTTGAAAGGTAAACGTGATTTTAGTTCAGAAGGTGGATTATTTGTATGCACAAACGACGAACCTCGTCTCTTCCTTGATGCGGGAAATTCGTTAGTGTCGATAATCACAGAATTAAAAGTCATGAATATAATAATAATCTATGATTTAACAAAGAACGTTGAATAATATCGGTGAAATAACTTGAAATTGATAAAAAAGAAACCATTGCTTTCTTGAAACAAGCGGTCGGGCTATCCAATCGTCAAAAAAAAAAATGGACATGTTAGGGATATAGCCAACCGATCAAACACTCGCTGGAGAATCGACATAGATATCGACACACTGCCGTGATCATTATTTGTAAATTCTATTTTATTAGTCTACTATGCGCCGATGAACTTGGCATTAAATCGTATTTTTCAATAAATTAATTCTCTTTTGCAAACTTGATTCCCTTTTCGATGTTTTTCTTCAGTTCAGGCAATGCAGCGTTGATGAGCTCTTGCTCATAATCACTAACTTTTCCTACAGGATGGATTTTCTTGACACCGTCGGGGCCCAGCTCAACGTTGGATGCAAAGAACTCGATGCCATCACTGGCATATAAATCCGACTTGACAAAGGTTGGTTCGATAATCCCTTCTTCGCCATTGACAACGGCACGGAGAAGAGAATCTGTGAATCGAGCAGCTGCATATGCCATTGATAACGTTGCAGAGCCAGTGCCTATCGGAAATGGTTATATAATAAATTAATTAATGTACTATATGATTGTTCTAATACAATACCATGCTATGGATATGCAAAAACGTCCGATAGCGTAAAACTGATATTTATCCGTTGTGACTGATACTCACCAGCCTTCGCCTTAACTACTTCGTCTCCACCAAACTGAATTCGGTAAGTCAAAGCTTTCAATTCTTCTTCAGCAAAGCTGAACGGACATTGTGAGAGCAATGGCACAATAGTCACACCAGAATGCCCACCAACAACCGTGATTTTAGCCTCCGCGGGATCAGTGTCTTTTAACTCAGATACAAAGCGTGAGGCACGAACGATGTCAAGAGTTGTCACACCAAACACTCTATTGGAGAATCAAATAATACGCATGTTATTTTTGGCTTCGGACATAAATAATATTTATGAACGTCTCATTGTAAATATAATAAATTGGCTCATTACAGCATAAGACAATATTGCTGTTTACCTGCGAGGGTCATAGACATTGTGTTTCTTGAGCGCCTCTGTGAAGATCGGAACAGTGGAGTTGACGGGATTGGATATAATGGCTAAATGTGCTTTGGGAGCATACCTTTTAGTCGGAGAAAGAAGACGTAAGTGTCACGTTGTTTGATATAGTTCAGAATAGTGGATAAGAACTTGTATCTTAAAAACTTACTGAGCAACAGCTGTGGCTAAGTCTCGCACAATTCCAGCATTTGTCTAATGAAGAAAGTAGCACATAGATATTTAATTATTTCCTGCAAGTAACGTTTTGCGTAAACAGTGGTAAGGATAACACATTTAATAACCATACAAGGAATAGGTCATCACGCGTCATACCAGGCTTACGCGGAACGCCAGCCGGAATGACAACAACATCTGCACCAGTAATCGCATGCTTAAGACCGTCATTATCAGGAACATATCCAGTGACCTAATAACGATGCAAGATTGAGAAAACAGTCAATTCTTCGATAACTTGTGAATTAGAATCACGTGGTAACAACGGCAATATCAAAAGTATTGACCTTGGCTTTTGTGTTAATATGGCTCAAGTCCGCGGCCACACCAGGTGTATTCACAATATCGTAGAGGGACAAATGAGAAATGAGATTATTCTTCTTCAACAGCAGAGAAAGCGGCTGCCCAATGCCACCTGAGAAAACATACGAATGGTTAATTAAATTATCAATAGCATACAATCATGCAAATGCTGCACAAAATTTACCGGCAGCACCCAGAACAGCGACCTTAGCAGCTTGCTAACCGACGCAGAACATGGTATTTATGTGTAGTTGTATTAACGATATAAGCTCGCAGAAATGTGCTTAGCAAATAACAACCCTTCTGACGCTACCACTTAATTGACGCAACTAACCGAAACAGCTGAAGAGGAAAATGCGCGCTTGGTTATTGAAGTTAAAGTAACTTGTCGGAGAGTAAACATGTTGCGAATGATATTATATAGGGTGCTTATCGACTAATGTGTATATATACTTGTGTAAAAAAAAAAAAAAAAAAAGTAAAAAACCAACTCTTCTGTGGCACGTTGTCAGTGTCACAGGAATATGGCATAATCGATGGTGTCACAGAAAAATTTCAGGGCCCAAAATTGCTGGACGCGACATAACCCTGAATTTCAAATCCATCGTGTCGATTAATATTAACACTAAATAACTTCCTAACTTTAAGCACAAAATTGAAACCATCAGGATCAAGTTGATTCAGCAAGCGTTGAATATGGATTGTGAAACTTACAATTCAGCCTTCATCGAATAATCGGTTGGAGTGGTTTTTGCCAATTGATTAGCTAAATCTTTAAATTCTGTCCCAATCATCATATATTAGTAGAATTTAAATCGCGTTAGTCAAGTTCTTGATATTCAAGTGTTAAATAATAAAATATTGGGATAATATTATTTCATAAGATTGGCCCACGTATCTTGAACTTCACCAATATAATTTACCAGGAAGCGTTGAAGATAACTTTAGAGTGATACTCATGACGAGTGTTGGTAACAAGTGAATTGTATTAAATTGAGATATTACATCAAACATACAATAGTTGATCGCCTATTTCTATTCGTAGTGGTACAGATTTAATCTAGTACCAGTAATTTGTTTGATCTGGCGTATTATTCCCATACTCTTCAAGATAATCTATAGCATTTTCCTATATTGTTGCAGGCTCTTTTAAATTAACAATCGTAAAGGAAAAATTTTTTCTTACCCTGATACTTATTAAAATCTGATGCAATCTCATTATATGTTCCAGTTCTCGAATAGACTTCGGAATTGTACAATCGGCCACTTTAACCAATAAATAGATTCCTGGATATTGAAGTTTCATCACACAGACAACCATTTTATATCCATGTATAAAGATTACAATCTTTTTTCCAGATGATGACTGAATATTATATTTCTTTATATCAAAATCCACCGAATCTTTAGCATGTATAGAACCTCTGTATATATCCCAATGAATTTTTATATCGTCATCTTTACGTCTCGGACTCGTAACTTCCAGATGTACGAGTATTATTTTTATTGTAAAGCATATAATCCGGCATCCGATCACTAGCAGGATTCCTACGGAGTTTGAAAGACAATTTACGAATTAGTTTTTTCTGAAATTTTAATTAGAAATATACTGTACCATGATTGTGCGGTAACGTAATTAAAATAATGAATTGCTCATACAAATACTGCCCAAAGCAAAGATACAATGATATCTGTGATATAAGTTCCTTCACTTTATGAACCGCACATTTCGCTAGTTGCATGTGTCAGATATCGAAATACGTTTTAATGCGCCATTATAGTTGTTGTAAATAAACTGCCGTCAGTTAGAGATTCCATTATTTGTGCGCGAATAGTCGACATATAGTTGTGGTAATGACGCACGCGCGCATCAGGTCCTTATTCGGTTTGTCATGTGACCAAACTGATTACCGAAAATAATATAATAAACGAGAAAATGCCAGTGACACCGTAGAAGTAGTGTTAAAAGTTACATACCGTCAGTAATCGCGGGTCCTATGGTTGGTGGATCCTCTTGTTTAGCAAGAGAGACTTCAATACGGACGAGGTTCAAGCAAGAGAAACTCGGCAATCGCTACAAAGTTCCCCTGCTGTCCACAGTGCTAAAAGTTACATATACACAGTGCCTATGATTGATGGATCTCTTGTTTAACAAGAAAGACTTCAATATAGACAAGGTTCCAGCAAGAGAAACTCGGCATCTGTCGCTGTAATGACCGGAGTGGCAACAAAGTCAAGAAGGAAGATGTGATCGGAATTCAAGGGTATCACTTGATCGAGAAAAAATCAACCTACACACTTGAGACTTAAAAATGGATGAACATCTAAAAAAGGGGTTTCTAACATTGTTCAAGTGATAATACAATCATGAATTTATTTCAAATCTCAATCCTATAGTTGAGAAAAAAATGCCTGAATGCTCGATTTTTTATCTTCGGGATTTCTCATTAAGAAAGAATCTGGTATAGATACACTTTACAGCAAAAATTTGGAATGCAGAAGATGTAATTATATGTATACCGCAACATATCATGTAATATTGTCACAATCCGGGTATTCCATGCAAACAATAAAATAATGTAACGTTTATTTTTACCAGACAAAAGAAATTTATTTGTAATAACGTAAATATAATATAAATATATCAGGCCCTTGGAACGATGCGAATACTGGATTTGATTTCTGTAGAATTTTTTTAAAGTGCTTCTAATTATTTCTAATTATATGATGTAGCAGTGGTTAAACGAGATAGTTTAGGTTTTCACAGATACTATTGGGATTCCACCATGATAAATTCCCCAACGGTTGAGATGATCTAAAATATTCGCCAACACCCATTCGCCTTTTTTGATTTTATGCTTTCCATTATTGCATACTGGCCATATTTCTGAACAATCAAAATAGCCACCATATGCATCACCACTTATAAGACAAATAAGAAAAACGCGCCAATACCATTTAATAACGCACTTTCATATTTTTCTGTAAGGTAGAAATCGTTGGTCGAGATGTGGTTAGTTTACTATTGATATACAGTCGTCCCTCATTTATATCCCCTTCATTTATATCCCACCCACGATATACAGTAAACCCAGTCTTGATGCTGGACGGATTTCCCCTATTGTATCTCTGTATAAATTTCCCCCACCCCAATTTCCCATATCTATAATATTTATTATGATCATGGGACTCGTTTTTTTTTTTTATAATTTAGAACTTTATTGCCTGATCATGGGACTCGTTTATATTATGCTATTTGTGTTACATAAAACATCAACATAGGCGATCTACTTCCGTATTATTTAGATCTCTTAATTTATTGGTTATGTTTGGTATTGTCACCAGATCATTTGTAATTTTGTGTGACCTGAGTAACACAACAGTAAAAATCAGGTCACATAACACGCCATTTTCAATCAGGTCATTATAACATGCCACTTTTTGTTGAAGATTTCAATATATATATATAAGGGAAAATATTTCTGCTTAATATTTACGAAATTCAAAATCATTTACAATCTAATGTGTTTAATTGACCCATCACTGATAATTCTCTTCAAATTAAATTTCTCATTCCCTAAATATGGCTAAACCCGCAAATTCAAGTGACGTAGAAAGAAGACAAAGAAAAAGGGACAAAATCGAACATCATTAAAAGGAAAGAAGATAATACCAAGCTGAGCGATGAAAAGTTAAAGAATTTGAGAACAAAGAGAATTTACAACTGAAGAAGATATCAGATACGTTCGTGATATATATGTTGTATATAATTCGACGTTTAGATGAGTTGGTAGAAAGCCAGACCTTGTTAACAGAATATATTACCAATAAAATTGCTTGTGTTACTCAATTAAGTCTCGGTCCCGAGGTGGGGATATAAACGAGGGACGACTGTACTTACCTCTGGCGATTTTCTCAAATTGATGGAAAAAGATTCAACGGATGTAGATAAACCAGAGACTTGAGACTTTGCTCGTTCAGAAGATACACTTGCCTGAATTTCTGGTGTCTTTATTTTTACTTAGCGCCTAAGCATAAAGGAAATAATTATCTCATGCTTAAATTTTAGAAACGCTCGGAGAGGTGGTTTAAGGCGCCTCGAAATTTGTTATATTAATATTAAACAGTCACAAATACAGTAATCGGAAAAAGCAGCGGTGTTATTATTTATTTTAGAATATAGGAGTTTAGAATTTATACCATGTGAGTCATGAATTTTAGCCATATTATTCGAAACTTTATAGCAGGAACTAGATTGCGTAATCCTTTAACCGAGGAACAGGCAAGCCGAATGTTGAAAGATTATTGGTTTGTGAGCTTGATCGAGAGGTTAATTAAATCGCAAAGAACGAGCGTATATGAGAAATCTGGAACACGTGAATTACAACTGCATCTGTGACATTGAGACCAAACGTGTGCAAGAAATAAAGAATATACAGGATTTAAAACAAAAACAATCAAACGTTTATGATAACCAAATATTCGAATGATCGAATTATTTTCCATTCTGATAGTTCAACAAATTATTCGATTTGAATTTAGGGTTAGGGTTAAAGTTCGAAACCTAACCATTCAAGAACTGAATGTTCGAAAGTCTGATCGAGGGTCTAGCAAAAAGATGTGCTCGAAAATAATTATTTCTCACCAGGAGTTAATATTAACTGGTGATTTGGATTTAACTTTCCTAACCTCGAATGGTTAGATTGCAGTGAATACGATTTATAGAAGTCGTCTCCAATCAGTGAAAAGAATATATTGCGTTACCATTTATTTAATCAGACGTTTTCTACCGAGACATTTATACAGACTACGGGCATGCTTCTAGCTAGAATTGCAAGAAATGTCTTTATTCGGCTGTGGATCTGTAGCGACTCCTAGTTTTTGTGTTACTAGTTACATTACTATTACATAATTTCTGTCGTGCTTTACACGACCACTTTTCTCTTTGACTCGTACAATTTGTTTGTGACACAACAGAAATCTTTTTCCCGAACAATTCCGATTAGCGAACAAAAAATTTTCAGCTAGGCGGTTGATGTGAAAAGTGATAATTTGCGATACAGTTTTTTTATTATATTAAAATATGGAGCATGTTAACACAGTCTTCACGGAGGGGCCACTAGAAGAGCAGGTTAGCACTTTGTTTGGAACGCGAGGAAAGCGTTGAGCGAATTGACAAATTCAAGTTCCGAGATTCAGAATTTGCTAATTTGTTGCTTCCTAATGAAATGCTGTCAATGATGTATAGGCTATCGTTACTTGCGTTTGAATATTTAACTTTTACCAAACTATACAAAACCTGATATCTCAATACAGATCCGTAATTTTGCAGTTTATCTGACGAAACTAAAGCAAGAAGACGGCGCATTCGTTACATCCATAAACACTCTATTAGATGAAAAA